AGAAGTGGATCCTCTTTAACTCGGAATCACCCGTACATTCGGAAAAGTATGAGGATGTCATCCTCGACCAAATCAATTGGTTTATGAGTTATCGCACGGATTCAGACATATATGTGCCGTACGGGTCGGTCATCCCTTGTGATAATAAGTGGCAAAACGAAAACCTCTTCGACGGTAAGACTCGAAACGTCGCGTGGATTGTGTCCAACTGTCACTTGAAGAGCAAACGAGAGGAATATGTCAAAGAACTGGTTAAGTACATCGATGTCGATGTCTTTGGAAAGTGTGGTACAAACTATTGTCCACGAAATGACTCGTGTTATCAAATGCTTGAAAAGAAATACAAGTTTTATCTCTCGTTTGAAAATTCTGTGAGTTTTGGCTTTGAGTATCAGTTTAGTTTGACTTTCATTGCAATTAATTGTGAATTTGTTGGCAACAGTTTTGCAAAGACTACGTGACGGAGAAGTTGTTTCAGTATATTCAGTACGATATGATTCCCGTATGTCTTATACTGACCCAGTACAGTAATGTTTTGCTAATTAATACTTGAATTGATGGACAGGTAGTATACGGTTCGGCAAACTATTCGCAAATAATGCCAAAGAATTCATACATAAATACCGCTGATTTTGGTTCACCTCAAGAGCTGGCGAATCATCTGAAGGAGATCTCGAGTGATAAGCAAAAGTACAACTCGTATATGAATTGGAAGAATAATTATTGCGTTCAAATAACTCATTATAAGTACTTTTGTAACTTATGTGAGAAACTGAATGTCGATTCCGATCGCAAGTCAACCAATCGGTGGACTAAATCCAAGGTTTTAAAATTATAATAAAATTGTTTATTTGCTATTTATAAATTTTTATGCGTTAATTGTTATTAGTGAATTGTTTTCTATGGATTTACATGGTTTTCAGTTCTCATCTCAATTGAGATATATTTCTCATTATACTTATTTTTAATGTATTTAAACAAATAATTTAATGCATTGATAATTGGAATTGTTATTAGTGAATTGTTTTCTATGGATTTACATGGTTTTCAGTTCTCATCTCAATTGAGATATATTTCTCATTATACTTATTTTTAATGTATTTAAACAAATAATTTATACGTAACTATTAACCCATGAGTTTCTCATAACTTTTATACTCAGGGTAATATATACGTTATGTTTGCACAACATCCTTATATTACTTACACCTCATGTACCTCCACAGCTAGTTTACAGAAGCCCAACCTATAAACACGTATATGGACCACGAGTGCACCAAATATGTCGAGTATGTGATCCGGGCAAACGGCACAAATAATTTTGACGATAAAAACTGATCTATAATTCCTCCGTTGCCTACAAATGACAACAAATTATGATTCTTATGTTACATTTATCATAATATGTGAGTTTAAAATTCATTGAATATATCCTACCTGTTATACACAACCAGATAGTCATTGCTAAACAAAAGGCATACAAAAGTCGAGATGAAGGGAAGACTATCGCAGAAATATATCTATTGAATGGTTGTCCGTAATTGTAGAATAAGGTGAGTCTATTACACTCAAGTTTCGTATCATACTGTCTTTGGGTATCTTTGTGTCATTACCAGACGTTTATTAAAGATACAAATCATATAAATATTTTTATCCTGTAATTACTACTCTGGAATCTTTCAATGACGGATCTCTTCATATGAATCAAATAACCCAAACCAAAGCCAACGAAAAATGACATCCCATGAGGTGTTGGTCTAAAATACACTACATTTGTGAAGATATTCACATAGAATTCGCTGTAAATATAAAATAAATTATTAGTAATATTGGATTTTTGTTTTAGATGTCTGGTTCATTTTATCATATGCTTACGTTCGGCCAGTATTTGTATAAACGGCTGGAAAATCATTAATGAAAATCACTAGTGATGTGGAGACAAAGAATGTAATTATAGCCACAATAATGAGAAATATTCCTAATTTAATGGACCGAAACATAGCTATGACTACAATAAATGAAATCCAATGCAATTGCATGTCTGCCGCCAAATACCACGTATGGAGTAAACACTGATTAAGTAGTTATAAATATAATTAAGGAATATAATGTATGAATTAATTCTATAACAAACCATATTCTCGACATCTATTATATTTTGCAAATAAATAAAGTTTTGCCAATAATTATTATAACAGTTGTTCATAACTGGATCAACAAATTCATGCCATATAGGACCAGAGCCAATCTTTAAATATTATGAACACATAATTAAATGATTTCTCATTAATTCGTTTCAATTGAATTGAGTACCAGTGGAATGAGAAAAGTAATCAGCATAAAAATAGCCATTTGTGGTGTAATTCTTAAATATCTTGTTATAAAAAATGCAAATCCATTGAATTGATCGGACTTTCCATTTGTCATTTTATAAGTTATATAAGAGGTTAAGATTCCACTATAATTAGAAACATTTAAAGTATTATATCCATTAAAATCAATTGTTATATCTTATGTTCAAACCTAATGAGGAAGAATGTGTCCACACTATTGCCTGCATTAAAAATGGGCTGAAGTATAGGTGCCGTCAAAGTCTCTTTGATTCTAAATGTTCTGCCTTTTTATAAGTGAATACTTTTTATAAGTAAATATTTTGTGAAATATTTCGATGTTTAATGAATACTTACTAAACAGATTGAAATCATTCCAAAGGACTGTGTGTCCATATATTATCCAAAGTAATGTCAACACTCTTATGCCGTGAATACAAGACAATTCTTGAGTCGTGTCAACAGTAATTAATTTATGAAAGTTTCTTTTTAATGAGAATATTTTCACAAAAGTCCAAAACCCAGACTTAGCTTATTATGTGAGAAAAAGAAACATAAATTTAAGGGTTATTATTGATATTAGATTTGTGTGACAAGAATATAATCATAAATGATTGTACGATAAATGTGAAGATTTTCGCCAATCGATGCCATCAAACAGCAAACCATAAAACAAAGGATTAGTGATCTTTTAAATACAAACAACAAATTGTGTTAAGAAGCTGTACTGGATACTTTATTTTAATAATTACTTACAGCGCACACATCTGAACCAAATTTAATGAAGTCTTTGTAGACCTCTCTTCGCACCGGACTTTTCTCACATGAAGACCCATATCCTCTGAAATAACTAGCGGTATTAGGCGGACAAACGGAGTGTTAGATTTGCCCCAAAGAGGTCTTTGAAGGTTATTACAGCTCCCGTCAGCCGATCTGTATTTGGATTGTTTGCAAACCGGCTCTTGAATGCAATACTTTTCCAGTTCAGTGTTTTCCAGTGAGTACTTCCAGAGTCCATCCCTGGCCTCTTCATTGGTTAGTTTGAATCTAAATATAATTATTAATTAGATTTATTAAATAAATATTAAATTTCAACATTAATTCTGTCCAAAGAATAAGCTATTTTTATCTCTTAAATAAATTCTGCAAGTTTTATGATTTACTGTACTTTCATAACCTCATTGTAAGGGAAGTCCTGTTATTCTATGTATTTTGTAATTCACTTCCAGACCTAATGTTAAATATTGTAAATGATAAAAATTGTGTGAAACCTCTCTTTTATTTTAACAGTAGTCAACAGATTAATGAATCCTCCTTTTGTCAGTTGGAACTGATTTTCATCGAATGGCCCGAAGAATGCCTGATGTTGCGATTGAGTTGATCCGTGCCTTTGAAACACACCTACCATTCCACACAATAATCAATATACTCACTCAATATACAATCACTGAATCAGTAGACAACGAGTCAAACCTTTGGAAATAAGCTCCCTTTCCGTTCTGATATAATTCTCAATAAATCGATGACTTTCTGCCGCCGCTCTATCGATATCTTCCAAACTAATGTGTTTTATTTTAGCGGATGGCCTCACAGGAAGTGGTATTCGGATCGGCACTACATGTGTTTCAATGCAATCACGTAATCAATAAACTTTTAACACTCAACATTTTTATGTTAGAGTATATTATCCTTAAGTTATATCTAACTCACAGCGACTTTCGATTGGTTTTCGCACTTCTTTAGGACAACAGATTCCGTGAGCGCCGTTAGAAAGTGGGCAACGGTTGGAAAACATTTTTATGTTAGAGTATATTATCCTTAAGTTATATCTAACTCACAGCGACTTTCGATTGGTTTTCGCACTTCTTTAGGACAACAGATTCCGTGAGCGCCGTTAGAAAGTGGGCACCGGTTGGACACATAGTCTTTCATGTCATTGAATTGACTGAAACAATAGGTCGCGCTCTCACACGTGCCAACTAAGCCATCATTTGTTTGACACGGCTTTCCACTCACTATTTCCTCTACACAACTCAAAACACTCTTAATTAACCTCTAAATTCAAGCCTTAGCTGTAATTTTGTTAAACCAATGATAAATTCACACAACAATACATTACAAACCTGTGGGTAGTTTATCAATATCTTTGTTGCTCTCTCTCTCCGGTTGTCTCTCGCGCTCTCTTTCCCTCTCTTCCTCCCTATATCTGTCTCTATCTCTGTGTCTGCCATGCCTTCCATTACATGGTCTCCTATGGAGGCGCCCGTGTCTGAAGAACTCGCAGATCTTTGTCAACCTTTCGCTGTGTCTCTCTCGATGTTTGTCGTATAACTGATGAGCCGGTCCATCATTAGGCAAATAATCGACCTCTTGGTTCCTGTTAGGCTTGACGACACCTGCAATTCTATCGGTTATCCCTGTAGCGATCTTGTTGATTTTGTGAATAGCGTTGCCCGCAAACTCCCGTAACTCAGGGAATGATGAGTTAACATCTATTTAGAATACAATTGTTAAATTTGTACCAGCATCAGTTATTAATTACTTTTGTTGTGCAAGATTATTGCGAAACAAATTAGAAATATGCTAAATGGAAACGAAATATGCATTTTATTAAACACTTAATGAACTAAAAGTCTGTCAATTGTTATAAGTTTTTATACTCTCTTTTATTCGGTTTCCTGACGAGTATTAAAGGAAATCAAATTTCTCTGAAAAAAGTATATTACATAAAAACTTGTGTTTAATCATTGATTATACAATAGATCTCAATATTCAAAAAATTATTTCCAATGTAGTTTAGACAAAAAAGTTATTTGATAAATATATTTGAAATCTAAGCCATACTTAAATATTTAAAGTGATAATTAGTTTTAAAATTTGTTTAAATATTATTTAAATTATAGGCATTAAACTTTATAGTTGTAACATAAAATTAATTATTAACATTTTAAAACAAAATAATTTTGAATTTTAATAGTATTTAATTTATAAGTAGCAAATAAATATATCAAGAATAACATAAAATTATAAATAATAAACAAATTGTTATTTTATTTAAAATTAACACCAATTTATTAAATAAATTATAAATCATTTAGAGGTCACAGAAGACTACTACTTATTATGTAAAACTACTTACCACTTATTGTTAAATATTAGCGAAATAACCTGTTCAGTTATATTGAAGTGAGTATAATTTACTGTCTTAAGTCTTTAGTTCTCATAAATGAAAGTGACTTACTGTACGAAATGTATGATCAAGTCATAAAATAATCAATAAAACCAGTAAACCTAATACATTAACAGAAAAATGGGTGATAATTCAAATTCACACAAATTTATTATTCTATAAATTAATGTCTTATCAAGACAATTGCTTTGTTTTACATAAAAATAAGTTTTTTGCATGTTATGTAATAGTTATTTCGATTTAAGTAGTTTTAAAATATAACTCGCATTTCGATAATAAATGATAAAAATATTTCATACGAATTAAGAAATCCCATTGTTTTATACAAAATGATTATCAATAAATCAATCACTTGCTCACAAAACTATGTAATCATTTAACACAGATTTTAGGGCCAAAAAACAGTTGGATTTTCTTGAACACTGAGACAATCGGTGGGAAACCTATTAATGCAATTAAGAAAGACATTATGAAAAACAAATAGCTTTCTACTAAATGCGAAAGTGATTTGAGTGTCATTTCAAGGCTTTGTTTTTGTCATTTGTTTTGTTTAAAGATTTATCAAAATTTTTCAATCATTTATGAAAAGATTTTCAATTCATACATAGTTTCTATTATTAAGTTATGGAAATATATTTAAAACTTCATTTGGTTTTAATCATTAATTTGGTTTTGATATCAGTATCAAATTCAGTTTATTGTCTTAATTTGTCAGATAGTCATCAAAATGAGTATAAACTTTGGGAAAAGTTTCACAACTTCTCGAAAGTTTGGGCTAAAGATTATGTGAAACTGAATCAAGAAAAATGGATTAATTTGTCGAAATCAGTCAATATATCGACTGATTGTAGGGATGCCATCACTTCTACGTTTAATGGCATTCAAAGGCTTGACGACTGGGCCATACAAATGATCAATTCTTGGGGAAATTTTCCCGCCTCAGGTAAAATTAT